GGAAAGTATGCACAAGAAAAAACATACAACAGTTATTCAGCGCGCTGGCGGCGGTCAGCCCGCTGGATTAATCAGCGGGGACCGCGGAGATCGAGGAAAACGCGGTTGGCCTCCCGTTGGGCCGCGGGGCCCCGGGACAATGTTGGAGTTGGGGCCGAGTCGGGGATCCCAGACGCATCTCTCATCCCTATCAGTTTTATAGCGGCCAAATGGGGCCAGCGTCTGAACATGCGATTCCGCCCGAGACCTCCGCACAAAAACGTTCAGATCGTTGTCCAGGGCGATCTGGCAATGTGCCGCGGATGGCGACTTCGCGTGCGACTTCCTCAGAAGAAAACTCCCAGACCGATTTTCATGCCGCTTGAGAGGGGCGATCGCCGGATAATTCCTCACATCACATGTCTGGTCGCTCGTCACGCCGCCAAGAGAGTGGCGATTTCGTTTGGGCTGTTCTAACAACCGCGCGTCTCGTCCACCCCTGCGGCGCCGTTCCTCCGTTCGGGCCACGAGCCTGTCTTGGAGTCATCTTGGGATCGGTCGAAGATCGAAGCTCGAGGTTTCATCGACTGCCGAAGACCCAGGGGTCGCTCCCTCGCATAGTGCCGGTCACCACTTTTTGATCCAGGGGGTGGTTACAAAAAAACGCTCGGTGTGGGCAGTCTGCCAGATCTCGAACGAAGTGGTGAGTGCGGGTCGCTGTAGTTCACGCGGGATGCGCGCGCTTTTGTCGAGCATGAAAACACACAAAACAAACGTGAGTAATCGCGCTGGCTGCGGTTGGGTAGCAAAAAAACCCTCGGCAGGGGCAGGTCTGCCCGGATCTCGAACGAAGCGGTGAAGGCGGGTCGCTGTAGTAAACGCAGGATGCGCGCTTTTGCGGAGCACAGAAAAAAAACACGCCAAAGAGAAGTGCGCGGCGCCCCCCACGCAGCCGCCCTCCTTTTCAAACCAAGCGGGCTGCGGTCCTGCACCCTCGCACAACATCCCAAAACTATCCTCATAGCTCTGGCGCGCCTCCTCGCCGCGTCTTGGCGGAGCGAGGCGCGGAGCGCCCCGCGGAGCCTCCCGCTGGGAGCGGTCTCTCAGGGGCTGTTGTGCGCCTTCAGGCGCAGGCGCTCGCAGCCGACGTCGTCGCCGCCGACTCGACCAGCTCGTCGATCGCCTGCCTCGGGCCACCTTGTGCCCTGGATGGCCCCCTCGCCATCCTCGCCAGCCCGTTGGCCAGGTTCGCCTTCAGGCCCGTCGTGCTGAGGCCACGCGCCCGCAGCGCTGCCCTCAGCTCGTCCACCTTGTGGCGCATCAGCTCGTCTCTGACGGCTATCTGCTCGCCGCTGAGTGGAACGCCGTGGAGCTCCTCACACTGACACTCCACGATCCTCGATGCGACCTGTCGTCGCTGCCGAGGTCCTTCCTTGGTCGGCGCGGTGCCTGCCGCTGCCGATCCCTTGTCCGCGCAAGCCGAGGCTGGAGGCGGTGCTTCCCGCTCTCGTCCGCCCTGAGCGTCCGCGCTCGCTCTGGCTGGAGGCGGCGCTTGCCGCTCTCGTCCGCCCCGAGCGTCGTCGTCCAGCCCGTCGTCGGTGCCCTCCGTCACCTCGCCGCCCGCAGTGTCGGGCTGGCGCTCCCTCGAGCGCCTCTTGGCAAAGTAGCACGCCGCTACCGTGGCTGCGATCATGTACACCAGCATGAACAGGAACAGCGGCACGACGATGCCTATCGTGCTGCCGTCGCACTGGTCGTCTCCCGTGGCTGCGGTTGCCCCGCTGCGCTACGCACGTACTCTGTCGCCACGACTACCTTCAACATAGCCGCCGCGGAGCCGCTCGCATGGCCAGCCGTGCGCCCTCTTGTCGCTAGCCCCATGAGCTGCAGCAAGACTTCGATCCTCGAGCCGCCCAGGTACGTCGTCCCGATGACAACTCGATTCACCGCCGCGTCTAACTTGATCACCTTCAGATCCTTCGTCCGCACTCGCTTTTGTATCCGCAGGTCCTCGATGCGGAGATGTCGCGCTCGACATGGGCAGTCTGCCCAGATCTCGAACGAATTGGTGAGTGCGGGTCGCTGTATTAGACGTAGGATGCGCGCGCTCTTGTGGAGCATAGGAGCACATGCAAAACAAAAATGATTCAGCGCGCGGGCGGCGGTCAGGTTACAAAAAAACGCTCGGCGTGGGCAGTCTGCCCGGATCTCGAACGAAATGGCGAGCGTGGGTCGCTGTAGTAAACGTAGGATGTGCGCGCTTTGATGGAGCATGGAAAACATACAAAAGAGAAGTATTCAGCGCGCTGGCGGCGGTCCGCTGGATCAAAAAGTGGAGACCGTGGGGATCGAGGAAAACGCGGTTGGCCTCCCATTGGGCCGCGGGGCCCCGGGACAATGTTGGAGTTGGGGCCGATTTGGGAATTGCAGCCGCATGTCTCACCCCTTTTATTATGATTCTAACAGACAAAGTGGGATCAGCGTCTGAAAATGCGATTCCACCTGAGACCTCCTCACAACAACTTCCAGTTCGCTTTTCCAAGGCGATCTGAGAATTTGCCATGGCATCTGGGAATGGCGATTTCGCGTGGGACTTCCTCAGAATACAATTCTCAGACCGATTCTCATGCCGCTTGAGATTGGCTGCATCGTCTGATAATTCCTGACAGATTCTTTTCCGGCCGCTTGTCACGCCGCCAGAGAGTGGCGATTTCGTTTGGGCTGTTCTAACAACCGCGCGTCTCGTCCACCCCTGCGGCGCCTTTCCTCCGTTCGGGTCACAAGCCTGTCTTGGAGTCATCTTGGGATCGATCGAAGATCGAAGCTCGAGGTTTTATCGATTGGCGAAGACCCAGGGGTTGTTCCCTCGCATAGTGCCGATCACCACTTTTTAATCCAGGGGGTCGTACGTTCCTCTCCGATCTCACCCCACAACCTTCGACGAAGGGATCCGCGCTCCCAAGGCCCATCCAACAACTGCGACGATTGTGATGGTGGCGATGCTGGCGATGCGGTCGCGAGTTGGTGATGATGCAAGGCGACGATGATGACGACAATGCAAAATGGCAATAGGCTGACAGACTGGGGAACCTGTCGAACAAGCATGATGGCGATAACGACGGTGGCAATTATGTGACCCCATATCCCGTTGACGATGACTGGCGATGAGGAGTGTAATGATGAGTGTGACGGGACACCGACCAGGCACCACGGCGGGACACCCCTAGCCACCGCCCACGGACACCGACGGGACACCACGGCGGGACACCATGGCGGGACACATCCTGCCACGCCAGCCCACCGAAGGGCGGTCTTTTGTCTTGACCCGCCTTAGCCACAGCGGAGTCATTCCTCTCGCCGGCCGACGCAGCTTCGCCTCGCCCGCACGCACGACACGAACTCGAAACCGAAACCGAAACCGATTTCCCAGTGGGGGGCTCTCCGTTCCACTTCGATCTCACCCCCCAACCTCCGACTACGAGTCCGCGCTCCCAGAGCCACCAGTCCTCCTGAAACTTACTTCTGGCACACCTCGCACGCGCTGCTCTCTGAGCCGCGTGCCGCTAATGCTGCTGATTGTAGTTGATCGCGGCTGGTGTATGTTTCTCTGTGTTCTTTGGTGTTGCTTCTTGTGTGCGCTATTGCTTGCTGCTGCGTACTGTTGAGTATTGTTCTCGCTCCCACGCTCCACCTCCTCCTCCTCTTCCTCCTTCCTGCTTCTCCTCGCTCCTCCTGACTCTTCCTCCCTTCTGCTGAATATCGTTCCTTCCTCGTCGTTCCGCGTCGTCTTCGATCCTCGTTCCTCTTCAACCTCCTCTTCATCGCCAGTCCACCTCCTCCACCTCCTCACACCTCCTCCTACTCCGTCTCGTCCTCCTTCATCCTCATCATCTCCTCACTATGATCGTCTTGCTGCTCACTCCCATGCACTACCCTCTTCTCACTCGTCATACTCGTCCCTCGTCATACTAGTCATCCATCCTCCTCGCAAACCCTTGTTCTCCCTTGATCCTCGTCGCGACTCCTCACTTAGGCCGTCGCGCTTTTCTCTTGCCTTCTGCTCCTGGCTTCTCCTCACTGATCTCCCTCATCCATGCCCGTCCTCCTCCTCCTCGCTCCTCCTCATCCTTTTCCTCGCTCCCCATTATCTTCTGATCGTCGCGATCCGACGGGGATGCGAGCGCAAACGCGACCACACACGGCCGCGACCCGGTTGCGTGATCAAAAGCTGCTCGCCAGGAGCGGTATGAAAATCATCAACAATGTTAAATAACCCCGATCCCAACTACCAAGAATGGCAACGCGGGGGGCGGAGCCAGGCACATTACATGTCATTTCCGGAGCCATAAATACGCCTTATGGCGTCTCGAACTTTCTGCAGCAGGAATCATTTTGCGGGCTCCGCGCCAAGGCAACGTCGGGGGGGCGTTAGGCTTCAAATCTGATTAATTTGCGACCTCCTGCTTCATTACCAGCGAAAGAGCAGCATGCCAGTATGTGCGACCTTCTGCAGAAAAGTGAGCATGCCACAACGTGACGAAAAGGATGAGGGGAAGGGGGGAAAGTGAAGAGGAGGAGGAAGGGGAGGAATGGAAGGAACTGTAGGGGGACGAGAGGAGATCTCTCTCCCCGCGCCCCCCCCAAGGAAGGAGGAGGGAGGGGGATCGGAGGGAGGGCGATCTCTGGCGCCCAAGTAGAATCAGAAGACCAGGACAGCGCTTGCGAGACTCCAGGATTGCCGATGGGTGCCGGTGTCGCGCCTACATGCGGGTGCTTGTCGCATTCTCTTTTTCCGTTCTCACTTCCCAACACCGCTCTCCCCTCCCTCACCCGCTGTTACCTCCCGGGCCAACGCCCCCCTCCTACGCCCGAGCACACTCCTTCTTCTCATCCTCCCTGGCCTCCTCCTCCCGGTGGGGAGAGCAACTCCCCTCCCTGCTCCGCCCCGCCTCCTGTGCTTGCTGTTCCCCCGCCCCTCCTCGCAGACCTCCCCCAGCTGCCCCCAGGGCGGAGCGCGGCGCCCACGTCTCCGTCGCACAGCGAGCAGAGCACGAGCCGCGTGAGCTGGCCGCACCTCGCTGCGGGCAGAATGGCATCCCCTCCAGCGGAGCCAATGCGCTGGCTTTTCCTCTCTCCTCCTGCTCCTGCTCCTGCTGCTCCTGCTCCTGCTCCTCCTGCTCCTGCTCCTGCTCCTGCTCCTGCTCCTGCTGCTCCTCCTCCTCCTCCTCCTCCTCCTGCCAACACACCTGACGCAAAATGACGTTTCATATATAAAAGCGAAGATTCCTCCAATGCGTGTTTGCCGCTGGGAACAGGTTCCAGACAGGGTGAACAAATAATCCAAACGACGACGACGACGACCATAAGCATGGCCAGAAACTGATGCATTCATCATTGCCAATGTCACTGCTGAGATACGGGCATCCAGGCAAGTCATCGTCACCTTGCAGGATTGTAAAGGACGAGGCGCACTACATCCTGCCGACGCCTATGATAAACAAATTGGCGCGACACCCTCCACGACACCATATTTATCACGACGCATGTGCTGACACAGTGCGCTGGTACACAACCCCTTTCAACATTTCGCTGTCGGACTGTAGGCAGCGACACCATGCCGAATCATAAGGTAGAGGAAATGGGGAGCGGGAGAGAGAGGGATATCGGAAAAGGGATGAGGGAGGGCCCTGCTCGCTGCGCGGACCATGCTGTGCATCGTGCTGGCCGCGCACAACGGAGGAGAGGGGGGAAAGTGAGGGAGAGAGTGAGAAAGACGAGTCGGGAACTTGGACTGTGACGGGAACGACAACGACGCGGAGGAGGGCGAGGAGGGGGGTGGGAGGGAAAAGGAGAGGGTGAGGCTCGCGAAGCCTGCCAGAAGCGTCGTGGGCGAACGCGGCGTAGCGCGCCAACACCTGGCCCGCGCCAAGGGCCCGACAGCGCAAGCCTCCCTCGGGAGGCATCGTAACGAAACGATGCCCCACGGGCGACGACGAACGACAACGGTGAGGGGCCCTTCGCACGCGCACGCGCAAGAGAGCACTCACCCGACGACGATCGAACACGGGGATCCAACACAACCAAGTTACCGAATCGCGGGCCGGGAACATTCCAGTTCACACCCTGGGCCAACCCATTTCTGGAAACACTGGATCGGGCCGTGGAGCCAACCGCGTAGGGCAGCAGAAAAAAACTCTACGAAGAGCGGCTTGATCGTTTCACGATACAGGCACATTGCTGCAATTGATTATGGCACTCACACTTTGTATACTACATATATGTGTACGCTTATGAAAACTCGCAACAATGTGAACCCATGTGAAAAATAGGATGTCTGGTCGGAGCGGCCGAGAAAGCGAGAGTTGAAATAGAATGGGCGTGAACTCGGAAATAAAACAAACAATAGAGAAAGAGAGGGAGGAGGTATAGATGCATTCGCCGTGTCATGCAAGGCCTGGGGGACCGGCACCACGAACGTGTGAAAAACGTGATTTGTGCAGCGCTCCAGACAATCATCGCTGCGTTCCAACTGCGATGGCCGCGCGCCTCTTCGAAGCCAACTGTCCTCGACGTGCATATACATGTATATATGTATAGTTATACACATATATATAAATATGTATACACATAAATATAGATGCACATGTGTATATGCATATATATATGTGTGTATATATAATCATCTTCCTTCGCTGGGGCCAGAAAGACATCATCTCTGACTGTGCGGGCGTTGCCGGGAGGTCTGCCACCACAGACTGTCGAAGGAACGGCGTTGCTGCACTGGCGATCACGGCTTTGCCGATCCTGCCCTTGAAAGATGGGCTGCGGCAGGGAAGGCGAGGCGGGAGGCGAAGCTATGTAAACAGATACGGCCATGGACGCTGACGATCGCCAGACGATTGACGCGCGAGCACAAACATCATCCCGTTCCATCCGCTGAGGCCAAAAAGACTTCATTTCTGATTGCGCGGGCGTTGCCGGGAGCTCTGCCAGCGCAGACTGTCGAGGGAACGGCGCTGCTGCACAGTCGATCGCGGCCCTGCCGATCCTGCCTCCAGAACAACGATTCCATAGAGTTCAACTGGCCCCTTTGCGCCGTCGAGAAGCAAAACAAGGCCTGGACCTTCACCGCGCGTTTGAACCCTTTCTGAAAAAGAGCCTTGACAAGCATGGACAGCCAGAGCCTGCCTGAAACATTGCACGATGTCTTTGCACAGAGGTCTACGGATGGTTCCGCGACTTCAGTCATGGACTGCAAAGGCGCTGTCAGAGATGTTCGACATTCCCTTGTCAACTTTACACGTGGAAGATTTGCGCGCGTGCAAATGCCATTGGGCGACTGACACAGGCCACGGATAGGAGAGATATCAACCCACAACGAGAGCACTCTGGCGCGCTTCCTTCATGAGACTCCATAGAGGCAAGAATCCACAACTGTCTGTCTAGCATTAGCATGATGCAAGGTTCGCGAGATTGGCGGCGCACTCCAGACACGAGAAGAATGGGGACTCCCTAGAACAATGGGCACTCGAAGCTGCGCGCCTCACTGGAGCAAGCTGGCACATCATCTCATTACTTGGTTACCGGCAATTACTTTCTGGGCATCTTGCGGCGAGAGGCCTGGGAGGCCCATCGCGCATTCTCTTCTTCTCAAGGGCGGCGGCCTTGTCAGTCAACCCCGCCGCGCTGTCGACGACGAGGGGCGCGGCGCGCCCATCCACGCGTCGCAGACGCGGCCGCCTCGAAGCCATCCCCTGATCAGCTTCTGCTTGCACGGCCCTGTCAGGTCGTGCCCACCCCCGCGTATCAAGCCCCACTCGAAGACCAGGGTGCCTTGGAGCCCTGCGTCGCGACGCCGGGCTTGCGACCGGCGAGCGCCCTGCGCCGCCGAAGAGCACGAGGGCGACCTGGCCCCGTGGGGCGCGGGCGGCAGCGGCCGGCAGGTCCTGCCGCGGAGCTGCGCAGCGCGGCCGCGGCCAGCCTTGGCGCGCTCGAGCGCGACCTTCGACGGGCGCCCCAGCGCCCGGTTGAGCCTGCCCCCTTTCTCGCAGCGGCGCAGCGACTTCATGCTTGCCCAGCGCCCCCGGCGGATCACCCCCTGCAGGTCTCGCAGCCCGATGGCGATTTCGCGCGACGCGCCTCCGCGCCGGCACTGGTGCAGGTTGTTGATCCCGATCCCCTCTGGGTTCAGCAGCTGCGCCGCCCTGCTGAAATGCTTCGCCAACTCCGCGTACTCGAGGGGGATCAGGCCACGGCGCAGCAGCAGCAGCCCCGGCATCGGGTCGAAGTGCTCCGAGCTGTCCAGCACCGGCGACTCGTCGCACAGCCCCGCCTTGGAGGGCTGCCCCCCCGCCGCGCGTGGCCCGAGCCGGCGCCCGCCAGCGGCGCCGCGAGGGCGCCCGAGGCGCCCGAGGGCCCGCGAGAGCGCGCCGAGGGCGGCCGCGGCGTTCCAGCCGCGAGGCCGCCCGCCAGCGGCGCTCCGCCCGCATCCCGACCACGCCCACGGGCCCGAGGTACAGCGCGCGCATCAGGGCGACGCGCATGCGCATCTCCCAGGGGCCCCAGAGGAACATCATGGCATTCAGGGCCATGTGCACGATTGCAAAGGGCATCGGCAACCTCGCCATCGCGGGGGCCAGCTTGTCGAAGCCCACCTGGGCCCGGGCGGCCCGCTTCGGGCCCGCCCCCGCGCGCCCGCGTCGCCGCTGGAACGCAGCGGCCGCCCTCGGCATGCTGCAGTCGCCCGCGGCCCCGCCCTCGCAGTGCATCGCGTCGCCCCGCGTCGCCAGAGCCTCGCCCTTCTCGGCCAGCGTCTCCAGCGGCAGCCGATGGGCGGTCGCCCGCGCCAGAAGTCCGCCATCAGCTCGCGGCAGTAGAGCAGCTCCTGCTCCGCGGCCACAGACCTGGACTCGAGGATGGTGCTCCCGCGATCCCACCTCCCTCGCGCCTCCGCCAGCCGCCTCCGCCTCCGCTGCGCGCGCCCCTCGCGGCGGGTCGCCTCGGCGATCGGCGGCGCGGCCGCCCGCCCCCGCTTCGCCGACGGCGCCGCCGAGGCCCCGGCGCGGGGCAGCATCCCCGTCGCGGCCGAGGCGCCCGCAGCCGCGCCGCAGCTCCGCGCGCGGCCCCGGGCGAGCGTCGTCTGGGCAAGGGGCGGGCGGTCGGCTTCCCAGGGGTGCCCGATGCAGCTCGGGCCCAGGGGGCTGAAAGATGCGGGAGGGCTCATTCATCGACAGGATTAATTATCTTCAGACATCACCAATCTCGCCGTCGCCGTCACTCCTGTCACCAAGCAGTTAACACCCCACTACCTGCAGATGCGATTCGCCCCCGTGGCTGATGACCTCCCCTTGCTCATCATCAACGCCACCGACATCGCATCAGAGACGAAGAGGAAACGGCGACCGCGATTGAGAAGGCGACGGAGCTAATGCGTCAGCGTCGAGAGGGCACTCCTCACTTCAAGCATAGGCATGGCTTGTGCTGCCGCCACCGGGCCGCGCTGACCGCGCGCCGGGGCCCTGCCATCAGCTCGGCCGGCGCCTCATCGAAGTCAGCCTCCGAAGGTGTCCGAGCAGGCCCGGGGCCATGAATAATGGCCGGCGGCGCCGTGCGAAGTCGGCCTTGGGCGCCGAGCTCGCCGCGCCTGCTGAAGCGCCACCTTTCACTCGCGCGACCTGCCCGCCGAACCGGCGCCTCGACTCTCTTGCCCTCGACTGCGCCTCGGCCACAAGGGCGACGCGTCAGACGCCGTCGCGGTCGCGCCCCGCTCAGCAGCCAGGTCGCGCCGCGCCAGCGGGGCCAGGCTCACCGCCCACCGCAACTCACGTCGCGCAGCTGGCCAAAGTACTGCTCGCCCATCGCGATGAGCGCGCGCGAAGCCGTGCGCGGCCCCGAAGCAGGACATAATCTCCCCGCGCATCAAGGCAGCGAAAGTCATGTGCCCTACCACGCTACCACGACCTCCACCTGCCACCCGTAGACTCGAGGCCGACGAAGCGACTCCTGCACTCCCAGCTGCAGCCTCCAGACTCGAACGGGGTTAGTCGCCGCCCTTCGCCACCTCCGCGTCGAAGCGCCAGCCCAGGCAGACGCCCCCCGCGCTGGCCTCCGCGCGGCGCGCCGGGAGCCCCGCAGCCCGCATGCCGGCGTCCGCGGCCGCCGCAGCTGCCTCCACCTCCGCGAAGTCCTGTGAGAACGCTGCAAAATTGTCCACGTACTGGGCATGGCTCACTGGCTCGAGCGGCGGTGGCGGTCGGCCATCTGCCATCCGCTGCGCGTCGGGCAGCCCTGACACCCTCCTCGCAATCTCCTCGCGCGCACTCTGACGGGCCCCCAGCGCCGGCGACCGGCCCATCGGCGCCGCCGCGAAGCACGGCACCACCGCGACGTTGACGCCCACTGGCTGACCGCCACGGCGCGAGACCCCCGCTCACCCAGCCCCCAGAGACTCTAAGCCGAAGAAGCGGACGAGATCCGACGGCAGCGCCAGCGCGTAGAAGGCGCCCGCGATGTCGACCTGGCCCGGCGCGACCAGCGCGGACGAGTCCACCTCGATGGCCCCGACGCTCGCGCCCGTCGCCAGGCTCGCGTCTTCGGGCTCGCCGAAGTGGGTCCTCGCCAGGCGACAGCGCATGACGGGGCGCACCTCGCCGCGCTTCTTCCGCGCCGAGAAGACCCCGACCTGCTCGGCGCAGGTGCGTCTGAACTCAATGGGCCACATGCCGGCGAGATGCCCGGCCAGGCGCGCGTGGCAGCGTCGGTCTCGTAGCAGAGGGTCGCTGTGGCATCGCTTCGCCCAACGCTCCTCACGCTCCCCCCCCGCCTCCTCTTGAGGCGGGGCCCTTCGGCAACTCGCGCGCGCCAGCATCTCCGGCGGCCCCCTCGAGGCCGCGCGGCCCGCGACCCTCCGGGGGCG